TCCACGACTTAATTGGGCGACCCACTCACTCCAGTGAAGAGCACCAGTCGACCACCATCAGCATCGGCCGCCCCGTCACAAGCGCCCACCCCACCGCCACCAAAACCACCAGCCCTCGCCGACGTCTTGCAACCCCCACACCCAACATTGCAAGATGATATCCCCGAAGGTTGGAGCCACCCCGAGATCCAACACTGGGTCACCACCTTCGACCCAACCATCCAGGAAGCTGCCAATGACGTCGTGCGCTTGCTGCAAACGAGTAAGGTCACTACCCAACAGCTCAAAGACGCAGGATCCAAGAACACCACTACATCGCAAACTGGATGCCTACACTCAACTGGCCCTTTATCTCCCACCACCTCAAGCTCAAAGCTCAAGGCTGGCAGTTCACCAAACACCGAGCCCACTTCTATTCCAGACTATAGCAACTCACAAGCGACTCTTTCGCCGCCTACGACAACGCCAATACACACTCCGGGAACCTCACCTCTACACCTCCACCAAGCATCACGCCCTTCACCTTCTTCGTAACCTCACCAAACATACAGCAGCCTCCTTTGAAGCAGCCAAAGAGCTACGAAGCGGCCGCCATACAGACCTTGAAGTCTATGCCATTCGACGTATGGCCGCCAACCTCGAAGAACCCGGCCGCAGCAGAGCTCTTGACATCATCAACAAAGCCCTCCTGTACCGCAACCTCACGCCGCCAAAACCCAACATCCCACTTACCGTGCCATTTCTGGCCCGCGACGATTTCACCAAACACTGCCAACAATGGCTCCGAACCACCATTCAGCAGCACAAGCACTTGACCATTCCCCTCCATCTCCCCTCCCACCGACTGCGCGAGGCCGCACACAAAACACTACGTTCCCACCTACACAACCATCGCACCTGGGAAGACGCCCTCCACTCCCCGCCAGATCCCGCCGACCTCCCCTGTGCATGTGGCCACCTTCGCACACTCCTGCAGGATCCTGACACCCCCACCATCAACGGCCTACACTTGACCAACTCCAACTCCCTACACACCTTGGCATTTTTCTCAACGCCAACATGAACAGCACCTACTACCCAAGCAAGGCCCGTTACTTCCTCACGTTCCGAACGGCCTACACCAAATGGCTCAAGCTACAAGGGCTCCCACCATCCCTCGTTCAACACGTGCAGCCATTCCTTGAGCACCAGTGGCGCCTCCACAACATGCACCTTAAGCATCAACCCCGCTTTACAGCACGCCTGCTTCGCCAACTCCAAGAATACCTCGGCCAACACACATTGCTACACCATGCTGACCATGAACTACAACAGCTCCGGCTGTTCTGTCCTCGCCAATATTTCACTGGCGCCTTGAATACATGGCAATCCCCCGAACTTTTTGAACCACTACCCTACCTCAATGCCGCCAACATCCACGACCACCTGGCCGCCACTGTTCCCCCCATTTTGCGCACCCGCTACAAATGGGGCTTCCGCAAAGATTTCAACATTCCCTACGGCGTCGTCCACCTCAAAGAAAAGAAACACTGGCAGAAAGGCCGCACCATTATCTCCTACTTCCAATCACTCAGTGGCAACCTACTTCGCATCACCAGCCGTGCCCTTGACATTATCCTTCAACACCTTTACCCCCAACATCCCGGCCAGATGTCCATTCCCCAACTTTGGCGCCATTTTCACAGCTACCTCGCCCAAACCCCAGTAGACATCTCCCTGTACGCCACCAACGATGACCTGGTCGGCTTTTTCAACTCGGTCCCACAACACCGACTCATTGATGCAGTTCACTCTCTCATTCACCACTGGCAACAACAGCAATCCACACACACCCTCACAGTGGATGTCCAAGCTACCGGCAACCCTTTTCACCACTCCCACATAGGCAGACACCACCGAAAACACCCTACACAACGCACTATCCAAACCTCCGACATCACCACCATCGTGGCATTTGCCCTCAACACATGCATTTTCCGGGCTTGCAACAACACCTACAAACAAATCCGAGGGGCTGGGATTGGCTCCCAGCTCTCTCCAGCCCTGTGCAATGTCACCATCACTCTCATCGAACACTCCTGGCACCAGATCCACAACAACCTCCTCCAGCACACAGACCTCCACTTCACGTACTATAGATATGTCGACAACCGCTTCATTGTTCACAACGAACATTTCCTCCACCATCCAGCCATTCAAACACTCATCCACCACAACTTCTTTGGCGACCCAGTGGAACTAGAACCGGTGGAGGACTTTCACCTCCTCGGGTTCAACATTGACCTCCCACAACGCACCATCACATACATGCAACCCTCCCAACCCTGAAAAATCAGGGATTCCACCACCGCCGGGAGCCAGCGCTTGGCTCTATCAGGCCTTGCTGCTGCCGAGTTAGTGAGGCTGTATGTCCAAAAAGGACACAACTATCACGCCTGCCACCGGTTTTTGAAAAAAGCGCCGAAGACGGCGATCTGTGTGTGTCCACCCCTGGACAAAGGGTTTCGTCCGACTGCTCCACAGATCACCTTTTCCAACCACGTCTCACACGCAGGGGGATGGAGAGGACATGTGAGACTCCATCCAACGAAGCTCCTCACATGATCCTAGGATATCGGCAAGGACGCTTGCCGACGTACCTGCACCGGAAACTGTTGCTCAAGCTTTTCCACTTTTTATTTGATTCATGGTGGTTGCCCATGATACCTTCCCTAAAACATGTTTTTCCCCCAGCCACTTTTGCAGCTGAGTTGCGCCGCTTCCGTCACCGCAGTCAAGGGAAACAACCATTGTTCAAACACCTACATTTTCTCGGACTTTTTGCCATGCTGTTCCACCGCCTTCCTTCCCATCGGGAAATTGAGTTAACTGAATACAAGTGTCAGAGTGTGTGTGTGTGTGTCTGTGTGTCTGTGTGTGTCCACCCCTGGACAAAGGGCTACTTTCCACCGATTCAACTACCACTCGTTTCACCACTGATCCACAAGCAGGGGGGCCAGGCCTGTCACATCCAACCTGGCCCAACGAAGCTGGATGTGACAGGGGAAGCACCAAAGGACGCTTTGGTGTGTACCTGCCACGACTTGTGCAAAAGCTGTCCAATCCGCTTTGTTTGATTCATGGTGGTTGCATGTTTACTCCCATAAACCTTTTCCATGCAGCTGAGCTCGTCACCGCATCACCTGTACAGATCGATTTTGCGACCACTTGGAAACAATTTTCAACAATACAGTTGCGCCGACTTTTCCACCTTGCGGTTCTTCGCCTTTCTTCCCATCGTGGTAACTGAGTTAACTGAATACAAGTGTCAGAGTGTGTTTCGCTCAGCCGTCCCACTCGGGTGCTGAGTGTGATCCCCGTCACTGGGGCGCCGTTCTCGCATAGGAAATCACCCACCCCAACATGCCACCTTTCACCGGATTTCCACTGGAAGTCATCGACGCATCCATCGAATCAACTGATGCATTGGCCGCCGGGCCCAAACACGGCAGCTTCTTCTTCCATTGACTTCTTTCACAGATTTTCACGGATTTTCTGACCAGTTTTGCAAAGGGTTTTTGCATGATCTTACATGTAGTGCCGTTTTGACCTTTGCCGTGACCTTCTCGTCAGAAGAACTCAAGCCTGCATACTAGAGTTCTCCAATCTAATTCGAGATGCATGACCACACGTTACAACAATTTTACCTGAATACACATTTCCACCCTCCAGCGCTGAAGCTGCTGCTGCCGAGCTAGTGAGGCTCTATGTCCAAAAAGGACACAACCACCACGCCTGCCACCAGTTTTTGAAAGAAGCGCCGATGCCGGCGACCTGTCTGTGTGTGTCCACCCCTGGACAAAGGGCTACTTTCCACCGATTCAACTACCACTCGTTTCACCACTGATCCACAAGCAGGGGGGCCAGGCCTGTCACATCCAACCTGGCCCAACGAAGCTGGGATGTGACAGGGGAAGCACCAAAGGACGCTTTGGTGTGTACCTGCCACAACTTTTGCAAAAGCTGTCCAATCCGCTTTGTTTGATTCATGGTGGTTGCATGTTTACTCCCATAAACCTTTTCCATGCAGCTGAGCTCGTCACCGCATCACCTGTACAGATCGATTTTGCGACCACTTGGAAACAACTTTCAACAATACAGTTGCGCCGACTTTTCCACCTTGCGGTTCTTCGCCTTTCTTCCCATCGTGGTAACTGAGTTAACTGAATACAAGTGTCAGAGTGTGTGTGTGTGTTCTCGCTTGAACAGCTAGCATGGCAAGGGCTACTATTGTGTCAGTTACGGGGCCTTTTTGGCTTTGGAAGAGCTTAACTATGGTGTATAAAGGCGAGTGGTTGTCAGAGTCCGACTAATATGCTGTAGACGTTCTGACCTGACAAGGCCTATTAAGCATGACTTAAGCTTGCCAGACGCTTCATCACATTTTTGTTGGCGCATGTTTTGGCAAATAGAACATTTGGTTGCGACAATGCCAGTGCCAACATGTGCTTCATTTCGGCATGAAATGGCATGAACATGGGTTTGAAGAGAGCATTGTGCCACAGACTGATTTGGAATCTCCTGTGGTTGAGCTTTGCTGGGCATGGCCGAGGGTTTAGGATTTGGGGTTGGCCGTAAGCAGCCGTCCACGAACAAATCTTGCTGACTCCCTGCACAAGAGTCACAAGAGCCTCAAAGTGGGTCATACGAGTCACTAGGTGGCCATGCGGGTGCGTGGCCAGCGGGTGGCATGTTGCAAACACGTAACATGTGCCTTTCCCCATGAGGTTAGACCTGTAAAGCTCCACGGAATGATTGATGAATCTTGATTGATATGCTTTGGTTTAGGGTTTGCCGGCCAGTTAGACCTTGAGCCAAAGCATATCACCGACCATTCTTTTCTATGCAATTGCAATCACTACTAGCACACCTATGAAGATATTCACCGTATTGGGCAACAACATCCATATTGTTCTAAGCTTCATTATTGCAACGTGTCCTTCCTGTTGACGCCGAGACCAATGCCTGTGACCTTTAGCGATTGTACTTTGCAAAGACAAACTCAGGCGAACGAGCAAGAAAGTACAAACAACCTGACGAAGGGGGGCTCCGAATCAGGATCATTTGAGCGGCTGTTTGTTTGGACGCGTGTGAATGCTTGAATTAGTGCAGGGCCATGGCAAAACAGTTGAGAATATCCGTGAGGTGTGGGATTCAGCTTTAGTTTCAGCTGTGAGATTCCAAGTATTCTTGGGAATTGTGTCGAACTTTTTGCACATACTGTCACGATCCGTCATGTATTCCTTTTAAACATGGAGGCATGCAAGCAGCGCCCGGACAAACCCGTTGCTATTCTGCTTGATACAAAGGCAAGGCCGCAACCACACACGGTTCAATACATGTCCAAGTCTTCATCCAGCCTGCCACACTCTAGCATTCTAGCTCCTTATTTTTAAATACCAGCAAACGCTTGCCTTTTGTGAGTTGGAAGGCAACGAACGACACTTGCTCGGATAGTTTGAACATCATCTTTGTGGTTGTTTGCAAAGCCTTTCATCAGGGCCCTGAGATCAGAACAGGCTTCTTCAAGGACAGAGCCAACAGTTTTCAAGTTGGCAGTTTCTGGTTTGGATCTGGGCAATCTAGTACCAGCACATTTGACAAATTATGCAGGAGGAACTTGCAGGTGGGAAAATCAACCTGAAAGAGGGTCAAGAGCTCAAGCTTGTGACAGACTACAGTTTCAAGGCAAGGGCGGGGTTGTTTGTGGCACGAAGAGCTGTGCTGCATAACGCTGTAATGTCTAAGTTTCATGAGACCGGCAAAAGTGTAAAAGTATGTGGGCTCACGGAAATTAGACATGCGCATACTAGAACTGCCTCACGACACTGCCAGGGGGATGAATCAACCTTGGCAGTGTCCTATCAGCAATTGCCCACAGCCGTCAAACCAGGCATTTGGGTCTTTTCAACTGCAGCAGCAGCTTTAGTTTGGGGCAGTTTGTTCTGATCCATGAAGAGACTGTCGAAGTCGATTCAATTGGAGGCAGCATCATTCTGGCAGCGGATGGTTCACTCTCTTTGAGAGTGAAGAGCTGTGGCAGCGATCATGTGATCACCGAGGCACAAACGGTACAGCTTGTTTCAGCATGTCTGCCCATTTCTCGACTTGTGCTTGTTGGTTCAGGTGCTGAATGACATTGCCATCGGTGAGAAGAAAAACATGAACCTGCCTGGCGTCAAAGTGGACTTGCCCGTTCTTCAGGAGTTAGTCCTCTATTTATTGCCTGGATTATAACATAAAATAAGTGATTATATGAATTTCACAAGACCGAAGGCTGGAATTGCTGTGGACTGCGAAGGTTTGCCCATCAAGACCACATGACAATGTTACATAATTTTGCACAGCATCTCACCAGAGGAAAAGGACACGAAAGACCTGTTGGAGTTCGGCATTCCACAGGCCTGACATTTGTGTTTGGCAAGGTTTGAAAAAAGTTAAACATAGCAGCTCTCGACATGAGCTGAGATTGTAGACGAAGTCATAGGTTCTTGAGCAAAGTTACAGAGGGCACCTTTGCATGCCTTTTCGGTTCGGCTGCTGGCAGGCCATCGATTTCGTTGCAGCTAGCTTTGTGCAGGCCTCGTGCCTGTGCTATTCTGCAATACTCGGCACAAAGCACACCTGAAGAGATTCTTTCTGATCTTCCTGCGAGAGCCTGCAGGATGCCAATGACATCAAGCTGATTAGGAAAACTCTGGGCGTAAGAGGTCGAAGCATCAAGATTATCTCGACCTTTGGTGGCAATTGGTGTTGTTTGGTTGTCAGGCACGCTTTGGATGGTAGATCGATGACGAAAGCTATTGACCGAGGAAGATCGAGAACCAGGAGGGCATCAACAACATCGACGAGATCATTGATGCCACTGACGGGGTCATGGTTGCACGTGGGGTCTCTCAGTCATGTTTTTTTGCTGTCTCCGAGTCTCCAAGTCACATTGACATGAAGTCGCTGACAGCTGTCTCCGCAGGTGGTGACATGGGCATGGAAATTGATATTGAAAAAGTTGGTTTGGTGCAGTACCTTGTCAGCAAAGGCAATGCGGCTCCACCTATTTAGTACACCGGCAATCTCACTCCCTCCATGGCAGCTTGTGTCAGTAGATCACTTGCAGTATCCATGATAGCGTTGCGTGATGTTGCGTGGACAGCTCCTGTGTGCGAGGAAGATGATTATCAACAAGTGCAACCTTAAAGGCAACTTGTTTGGCAAGTGCAGCGGCATTAAGCTTCGATTCAAGCCTTGGCAAGTAACTGGGCTTTTGTCAAACAAGGCAAGTTCGTGGTCACCGCGACCCAGATGTTGGATTCGATGGAGCGTGCTCCGCGGCCCACACGCGCTGAAGCAACTGATGCTTTTTGGCGGCATTGAGTCGATGGCCTCCAACCTCTAGAAGCGATGGCCTCCTGAGAAAATGAGACATCATGAGACAAGCCTGTATTTTGCCACCAAGGTGCTGAATGCGGTTCTGGATGGCACAGATGTTGTGATGCTGTCCGGTGAGACCGCCAGCGGGAAATTCCCAGAACATGCAGTCGCCACTATGCGACATATTTGCCAAGTGGGGGAAAGGGTCATCGACTACAAGGCGAATTGCTGCTTTCATTGCAATAGTTCAGACCTCTTGAAGTTGGCGAATGGTCGGACTGCAAGCAAGCTAGTAGTAAATTTGTCAAGTAATCCAACTGGCAGGCGCTTTATCTGAAAACAAGGATGGCGACTTTGGAATCAAACAAGATGGACCCTGCTGCTCGCCTAAAATGTAAGATCTAGAATCTCGAAGGTCTTGAAGTCTTTGGAAGGCTGGAAAAGATTGAGGAAAGTGCTGATAGGAAGTTTGAATGTTGAGCCAGTCCAAGAGTCCCAGCTTAAAGCGGGTTCTCTCATTCAAGATAGATGGTCTGTCAGGTTGAGTCAGTGTGCTCCTCCGCCGTGAAGACAGTGATAGATTCTGATTGTGCTTGGAATGCATCAGTTTTGCAATGTTTTGGCAATACTAGATATACTAGTAGATATATAGATATAGTAGTAGTTATATAGTAGTATATAATATAATATAATATAACGTATGTATATAATGTAAATAGTTATATACTACAACAATCATAACAAAACCACAATAGACAATGATGATATGCATAATACGCAGTATAGGTGCTTTCTTCTAGCGACTTGTCAACCTATGCTCAACTTTGCAGGATTGGTATCATCAATGTAGAGCTTCATTCATGCGGACTCACTCTCTCCATGCTTTCTCCATGCAGCATGGACCGTGCTGTTCTGTCAGAGTTTGTTCCACGGCAGTTGCAGCTAAGGTAAACTGATCATTGCCTTGACCGAAACTGGACATACAGCTCGTGTCATTGCCAAGTACCGACCGCCCTGCCCAATCCTGGATATTTGTCTGCAAGGTGTCTTCACAAACACACAAAGTTTGTGTTTTGGATGAAACGACTCTGTGGGAGGGTGGAGGATGGTCAACACAACACAGTTTAGTTTGTCAAATACAGTCATGAATGCAATAACATGCCTGTTCTTGTCCCCCAGTCTATCCCCGAGTCCACTTTGTCCCCATCCTATAGGTGTTGACAACCACTCCGATCTTTGAAGTGTGCACAGTGAGGCAATCACAGCCAGTGAGCCGACTTTGCGACAGATGTTGGCGAATCGTGGCGTTTCTCGGCGTTCTTTCAAAGGCTTGTAACATATCTAAGTGCACGCGTTTGTTGGGTCCAAACCAAAGACACAAGGCACCACACGAGTTAGTGTAGTCTAGTCACTAGTCTCGTTTCAGTGAGGCCAGGTTGGAGCTATACAGATCATACAGACCTATCCAAACACCCAAGACCCAAAAGCAGCTGCATCGAACTGGTGTCGACACGGGCACATTGTGTTCAGATTCCCAGAAGTTGAAGACACATTGACTATATAAGTCTCTTTCTCTATGATCGTGTCCGTTTCCACAGAACCAGATTTAGGTTGGAGGCCAATTGTTCTAGGCTATTAGGTTGGAGGCCATTAAGATGATTCAAGTGGATTGTCTTGATTGAGAGTCACTTGACCTAAGCCTTAGGATCATTTTGCAGCGATGACCCTAAGGTTGTGCCCATTCTCACAGCGTCCTTCCAGGGCACAGATTCAGTGCTCGCGAAAGCATTGGTGAAAGCCAAGGCAAGTCAAGCTTGGTCAGTTCAGATCGTGACTACATGTACTGCATGACGTTCATGTTACATCATGTTACTGTATTAGGAGACCAACATGGTGAAGCCTGGAGATAACGTGGTCGCGTTGCACGGCCAGAAGGAGGAGTGCCCGGGCCAGGTTCTCAGGAAGAGGGATTGTGTGCGATGGAATGAAGTCGCAGAAGCGAGCGGATGTGAGCGAACGACAGCTTTTCAAGATTGAAAGACCATCCCCCCACCACTGAGGCCACTCCAACTTGTTGAAAATCGCTGCAGACCCAGCGTATGCTGATTTGTTTAGCCTGAGGGTTGCACTTTACGCATGCACTTCAGATGGATTGTTGTCCACTGACTCCCGCTGCAACTGCTGACGTGCTGGCAAGGTGGTTGTTCCCTGAGAGCCATTGCTGTGTGCACAGAGCTTTTGCGATGGTTTGAAATTTGTTATTTTGAGATGCCCTGTGCATGGAAGATGGAAGAGATTTAAGAACTCACCATAACTCACAACTACCCATGCAACTCCACCTGTACCCATAGTATTGCTACTATATAGGCTGGAATCAGGAGTTTGCCATTCGTGATACCGTGATGGGACAGAAAGGTTCAAGATCATTCAGCTCCTCGTGGAGGAGCGTGTTTCGGGGCACTCTCACTGTGTGGTGAGGGTGCGTCAGTCACCCCTCGTCACCCTTTTTGTTGCACAGGATGGGTGCGATGTTGGGCATTGCTTCACAGGCATACGGCCAACAACCATGTTTTCCTCGCTTGGCCTCGTCTCGCCCAAGAAAAAACAATTGATTTCCTCGCATATGCAAACGAGGAGTCTCATCATGCGCAGACGCTGCAGTGGTGGCAATTGAGCTTGTTTGTTGCTGTCAGCATCAAGAGCTCACTTTGCGCATTCCGTCCGTGGCTAATCTCTATCTAGCACATTCAGGAAGAGTCGAAGCAAGTCATACAAGTTGCACGACACAGACACGAGAGACTTGCAAAGACTGCCAACGCATGGTCGAACAAATTTGAGGAAGCTCATATCTACAGATGTTCTACAATTAGTTCCAAAATATACGGAAGTAAGTGCTAGGGCCTCATTTTTTAAGAGTATGATCAGCTTGACACCTGCCCCGAGAGCTGCGCATGCAGAGTCTTGGCTTGCAACTTGAGACAATCTATCTCAAGTGTACTTGGCATCTGGTTTGCAACAATTCTTCTTCTTTCACTTCCTGCCATTGGCATGTTTGCTTTATTTGGGTATTCAGCCTCAGATTCTACCCAGGCGCATCCTGCTGCCTCCAGAGTGTGCCGACGGTTTATGCCTGAAGCCGGAGGCGCGCAGCTCCCTTGACTTGCACAACCTCAAGTCAGCACAACTGAAATGCCTTTTGCACAGATGTACCCACAACACCATAGCCCCACACCCACAGACCCATGAGCGCTCAGGAAGAACATGCTAAGCAGTTTAAACAGGAAACGTGCAAGGGCTTTGTGGCTCTATCTGAGGCATGATGGATGCAGCTGCATATGCAGTCGCTGCAGGCAGCATGGAACGCGGTCTACATGCTACAGAAGATTTGGCTGCCCCTAAGAGCAAGAACGCTACTAGGGGCTCCTGGCATCGCACTAGGAGCAAAAAGCCTTTTGGTTTCACACAAAGCCAGGTGTGCTCTCGGCGGGTGCGGCCGCTGCTCGAGCTGTGCCCCGGCGAGGCCCAGCTCGCGCCCCGGCACTGAAATTCTTGGTGCTCCAGTCGCCAGTCAAGGCGCAGCAAACGAAGGAATATGACGGAAAACCGAATAATACAAATTGTCTCAAGTTGTTGGCCCTTTTGAAAACACATTCAGAATCCAGCTTGTCCTAAAAGTCGCCTCGGCTTTGGAGTCACGGAGTCACGGAGTCACGGAGTTGGAAAAGCGTGCATCTTGAAGCAAAGGTGAGCAAAGGACCTGGATCCTACGGACGAGTTGTTGTCATTTGTCACAGCACAATATCAAGTAAGTAATATATATAAATAAATATATCCAAATACTGCCAAGCTACTTTGACATGTGGACCAGAACATTTCATTGCGCCCGGAGGTGAACACAACCTTTCCAGCTCATCTTTTGCCTCCAGTCCTTGTTCCATTTGCAGATGCAGAACCCTCCACCTTGGTGGATTGTGGAAGTGGATCAACACGCGCGCTTTCTTTCAAGGATGATGGCAAGTCCCACGTGTCCTGGGAGAAGTCAGCTTGGCGAGGTGAGAAATTCATTTGACGAAAACAGCTCTTGGATTTGACCACTGATAGCGATGGCCTCCAACCTATTTGGAATATTACAGTGTTGTGCACTGCAATTGAGGAATAAGTCTTCCTATTTCTTCATCCTCTTAGTAGACTCAGAGACCAGCTAAGCCTGTCTTCCAGGTGAGCCTTTGGCCATAGCTTTGCAAGATGACCAGAAGCTCCAGAGCCTTCTTGATCTCTTGTGCAAGGAGCTACCACCGCGCGGTCAGGTGCTCCTGGGTGCAACGGCAGGTGTTCGTCAAGCTCTTCAGGACGGCACCAAGGATGTGTATGTGTTTTGCATGTGTTTGCTGCTTGCTCCTCTTTCAATGACGCCAAGTTGAAATCGTGTGGAGTACCTGGATGATAAATGTGTGTGTGAGAGAGAGAGGGAGAGACAGACAGAAAGACAGACAGGCAGGTAGAACAAAAACCACTGGCTTCGGCCATACCATGGGGCCATCAAGATTCACACAGCCAAGCTGAGAGCCCGGAATTGTGGACGAATTGTGCACTTGATCCTTGCATGTTTACTACTCGTACAGATGAATACAGGATTAGTATTTTTAGGGTAGTTCTAAATAGGTAGGAGGGCGGATGATTCACTAAGAATAAAAAAGAACACAAATAGGCAGGCACACAGATTCACATCAAATATCTTAAGAATTCTTGAGATAACACTGACATCATAATGCATCTAAATCTAAACATGATATGGTTGTCGATCGAAAGGTCCTCATAGGTAGCGTTGTTGACAATGACCCTGGAACATGTCAAAACCTCATTTGGCGAAAGTTTTTTCTCGAGTTCGCGAAAGTAATTTCTTGTTGGGCGACAGATATAATATGGCTAAAGAATGCTAAAGATGTTCTTTCTGCTGCCGTTGCTACTACTACTACTCCTACTACTCCTACTCCTACTACTCCTACTCCTACTCCCACTCCCACTCCCACTCCGACTCCTACTCCTACTCCTACTCCTGCTGCTACTACTGCTGCTGCTGCTACTACTACTACCACCACCTCTACTGCTGCTGCTACTACTACCACTCCTGCTGCTGCTACTACTACATACTGCTACTACTGCTACTACTGCTGCTGCTGCTGCTACTCCTCCTCCTACTACTACTGCTACTACGGCTACGGCTACGGCCTACCGCTATTGCTACTGCTTGTGCTGCTTTGGGGGGTGGCTCTGCCACAAGCTCTACCCCGCAAAAGGCGAAAGTTTGGCGAAAGCTCAGCTCAAGATTGGCGAAAGTGCACCCTGCCACATCTGACCCATTATGAGTAAGTCTGAGTGACCGGCTGCAACAGTGATTCTTGCAACTTTTGATTTTTCAGACACTTAGGAGAAACAAAAGAGACGTACAGGATGTCAACAGTTAAGTAGAAGACACATGCAGTGAAGTGTTTATTTCGGATCTGCCAGCAAAGAAGAAGCCATTGACATGAAAAAATGATATCCCTCATACAACATACATGGCAAACATAAATGCAACATACTTCGGCGAAAGATAAAGCGCAGGAAGGCAAAAAATTGGCTAAAGTAATTGTAAGGGCTCCGCCCTGGTGCCGCCGACCCGTTTTTTGTGAGACAAGGCAGCATGGCTAGGAAGGCAACAACCGAAGTTGGACATAGTTCTGTTGTGGACACCAATGGTGGTGGTCGTGGACCTAAGACAGAACAACTGCTTATATAAAGGAGCGACCAAATGGCCTCAGGGGACTGTGGGTCCCAGAGGCTCCCTCCCAAGGCTCCCGGAAGCGTTTGAAGCTAAAATGCTTGATGTCGCCTGGCGCGTTGCCTTCGGAATCCTAAAGAAAAGAGGTGCAGGCCTAGGTGGCAGGTTCCAGAGGCTCGGTTCTAAGGCTGCAGTGCACGGGCTGCACGTTCCAGAGGCTCCCTCCCCACGCTCCCGCCTGACGCAGGCAATGCTGCGGCGCAGGAGTAGGCCAAAGGCGCCGGGAAAGCACAGAGCGCAACTCCGCCCACAGTCTCGCACAGAGCCCAGAGCCCACAGTCTGGCAAGCGCGAGGTTTC